CCCCGATTTCGACTAGAATTTTATTTTACCAACACCGGCATTTCCACCACATTATTTTAACTCAAAACCCAAATAATTGAAAGGAAAAATATTCAGATATTCCAGTTTCAAGAAACGAATTTGCTAAAAGGTTGCAGTAAATGAAAAACCCCAACATGCAACTTTCGGTATCGAAAAAATCAAAAATCTCAAGTCGAATACTGAAAACCGAAATCCAAAAACCCCCAAAACGCAGGGTTTTAGCAGCACAAGAACATAATCAAACAGAGTAAATACGGAAAAGGAAGAACAAATAATCAGAGTGAAAGTTCAATTCTCTAGTTGCTGATGAATTCTGTGGAAACAAAGTTGGAAGCAAAAATTAAAGTAGTATAGTAAGCGATTCAACGGATTCGGTAGTCAAGTACCGAGTTCTTTTCTCTTTCCTGCGTTTTCTCGGGAAACAAACAGTCGACAGAGCGAGAGATGATTACCTGCGTTATAGTGTTGCGAAGACGACTGTGAGTGCGAATGTAGAAGCTGATTCGGCGAAGCTTGGCAGCCGGGGAAAAGGAACGGTGGCGGGGAATTTTGAAAGGGCGATGACAGTGGAAACAGACAGAGAAGAAAGGTCCGTTGGCACTGTTTTCAGCAGTTTAAGTACCAAATTACCCCTGTAGATTTCAACTATTAACAATTGTGGCCTAACTTTGGTTTTGTATATTGGGCCGGGGCCTCTGGTTCTGGGTTGGGCCAAGTCAATGGCAAGAGAGCAGGCGTGAAGAGTGACTATCGTCACCACTAGGATGGTGCATAGGCCATTGGAGAATATTCAAGAAATTGCTGGGCAAACAGGGTTTAATTTTTTGGCTGGAAAAATGGGGCTTTATTCTAACATTGAAGAGCTCTCGTTCCCTTCAATCTGAGCTACGGGTAGAGGGCTGGTTTGGTATTGTTGTGCTTTGAAAAAAAGCTGTTGTGAGAATAAGCGGCTGTGAAATAAATCAGCAGAGTGTTTGGTAAACTTTTTTGTAAAAGTGCTTTTGGAAAAAAAAAACAGTCTAATAGTGGGTCTTTTCATTAAAGAAGCACTGTAGCTCCGTGTGCTTTGAAAAAAGCCAGTTTTCCAAAGCTGCAAATAGCAGCTTCAGCTTTTTTTTTTTATTTCAGCTTATTCTCACAGCAGCTTCCAAAATAAGCCATTTTTTTTTCAGTTTACCAAACACCTAAAACCCTCATAGCTTTTTTTCATTGGTGCTTTTTTTTTAAGCACCTCACTCCCAAACTAGGTCAGAGAACTGAATTTAGATGCAGAAGCGAGAGCACATCAGAAAAAATAATTAAGTTTCTAAACTCATTAAAAAGGTCAATATGCCTTCCAAAATGTATCACAAGCAAGTCGAGTGACTTAAATTGACAAAAAATTCAATAGAATAGCTTTAGATCTAATAGGGATTGATTGCATGAATTTTCATGTTTACATAGCATTCGTTAAAGTAATTACCCCCCACTATTAGCACTTATGCCGGCTTATAATTTGTGGTTATTATGAAGGCATTGGAACTTCTTCTTTTTTAATGCATTCTATTTTACTTACACTAAGGGGTGGGGAGTAGACTAAACCACACAATGGACTAGCCATAAATGGTTTGAATTCGCCATTGGCGTGACTCAAATCTAAACCTAAGATCTCTCACTTACAAAGTTATAAGTGAATAAAATACCACTAGACCATAATACTAAATGACTAGACAGGTGAGAACTTTAGTAAATAGTAGTACTCCTTAGTAGTCACATGACAATTAACTATTCCATGCATGCAGAGGTCAGGAATGCGTTTCCTAATTCTCAGTTATCATCGTGCACACAGACAAAAGTATATAGTGCCAGCCGGGGAGATCACTGTAATGCAAATGGACAGATTATTCAGAGATACATACAGCCAGATGAAAAAAAGAGAGTTTGTTTTGACCATTGTCCAGAATTTCGAAATGTGACCATTGTCCAAGGAGGTTGCTGTACAAGCAACGGTCTTCACATATGCTTTGACAGATAGCGATAAAATATATTATGAGGAAACAGACAAAGAGACGAAGCTGCATGGAACCTAGCTTCTTCGAACTTTTGTGTGGCTGCTACCACTTCCCTCCCCAGTCCCTTTCCTTTCATTTCCCCCGCAAGACTCCTCTTTGCCCCCACCCCTCTTCTTTTTGTCCCACCTCTATATCTAACTTAATTAGCTCTACGTCTAGAACACTTTTTTTTTCATTTCCCAAATTACCCTTTACTGTGTTACAGACATACAGTGTTACGGATTTACTGTGAATACATATATATATATATGTATGTATGTATATATATATGTATGTATATATATTTGAGGGGTCAATTTTGTTTCAGCATCCAATCTTTCAATATCAAATCCACAGTTTGAAAATTATTCGTTTGAACATATTTAACTAAAGAAAGTTGATGTTTTATTATATAACCAATTCTACGAATACTGACCATTTCTCTTGATAAATTTCCGATGTAGGACGTACATTTCTTCACATCCTCGCAATAAACGAAAATATATTTCGTGAAACCATGCCAATAGAAAGACTTCTATTATGTGGAGAACCAGAGATGAGTGGATATAAGGTGCAGTCTAACCAAGCTTAGTAGTTAACCCTATCACAGCATAGGATTTGTGAACATGCTAAACAATCTTCGCTTCACTTCACCTCTGGAATTTTGGAAGATTATAACCACAGACAACTGCCAGGTTGATTAATTAGATCTCAAAAATATTCAGAATTTATATATTGGAAGAATTTTGCTTTTTCGTTGTAGTAAAAACTAATAAATAAACAATTATATTTTCAGCTCTTGATCCAACAATTGAACCAAAATTCTTCTCTCTCCTTTACATGGAACCAATTATATGATCCCCACACAACTGAAACAAGACATACGCATAGAATTGTGGACCATTCCATGCATTTATCACATGCTGTGTTTGAAACTAAATGAGAGCCAGATCAGAATGTTCATCTCTTTCCAACGAGTTGTGAGTGAGACATATATACCCCCACGACCAAAACAGAAAACAAACGAGAGAAGATAAATTGATTCACTCAACTGATTAAAACAAAAACAAAGCTTGCAGGAATCCATGATTCAACCAATACATAAACTGAAACCTAAAACTTTATGATTTTCCCAATAACATGCGCGAAAGGAAATTCAGTAAAACACATTTGATAATTAATCTTCAAATCAACAAAGATATAATAAGTGTATAGATCATTATTTAGGCGAACCTTTAGTGTCGAGAAATAGGTTTTTCTCTCGGTCTTTTGCACATTACGCTCTAATACACGTAACGTTAGTAACACAAATGATGTAGAGTAATACTAGGTAGACTAAATTTGTAAATTAAATGATGTGTCTAATGAGAATAAGTACGTTAATCAGTAATTAAAGTAATAATCTAATTATCAACTTATATGTCATTTAGTATGCAAAATTTGGTCTACAAATTTAACCTCCCTATCCTTACCCTATGATATATACGATGATTAATTTCCTTAAAAAGCTCTAATTAATTACTCACCCATCGTTAGGAAAGATGACTACTCCTCTCGATTTGATGAATAGGAATTTTTGAATAATAAATACATATTAAATCACTTTAATTATACACAATTGTTTTTCATATAGGAGAATCTATAATCCTGCCTTTCATATGGCTACATAATACCACTTTTAACTAATCTACATTAATAAGTAACAAAATCCATTTCATGTACCACAATATTCACTAGCAAATCACGTAAAGCAGTCCATACGTGATGAGATTTTATATAACGAATCAGCTATATTTAACGTTAAAGATTATTTTTATTTGGTCTGCCATTTATGTGAAATGAGATAGTTCCCTTAGTTTAAAAAATAAAATAAAATATTTCTAAAACATGTTGCAATTCATTTTGGGCAGGATAATGTTAATTAAATTCGTCCATGTGACCCAGTCTTGAGTATTTCAATTCTTATCACAAATATGGGCTCATCCTTAGTGAGTAAACATCTCATTAAATGCTCTTAGCTGCTCATGGAGTGACCACAGACAACATCGTTTATATGCTCCCGTGTGTCTTTCTCTTTTTCTCTTTTTTTTTTTCGCTTTTTGCATTTCAAGTGACCAAAGCGACTAAAGGTCGTCTACAATCGAATGTCAAATGAAAGGATATAGTCTTTTTGATTAAAAACTCATCACCAATGGAGGGCAAAAAAATCTCCAAAAAGGATTCCGCGCCCAAAGGCGTTTTCATTCGTAGTCCGATTGTTAGTCCAGGCCATTACTATCATGTGGAACGGCTGCCACGTCCAAATAAGAGCTGAGATGTGGTTGGAGTTCATTCTATGTAGCGCACTGCGCACCATCTGTGATGCACTCGTGCGTAATAAAAGACCAAAATTCCTCGGATCCAACGGTTGATGTGGTTGGATTATGATTATTTTTATAAATTGAGAAGAAAAAAAACCATGAATTACACTAATTTATGAAAGAAAATGAATGAGTCAGGTTTACTCAATTGAAATTGGAAATAAAATTAACAAATACAATCACTAATTCACCTAATTATCGAAACAAAGAAGACACAAACAAAGGTATAAGCACCTAGGATTTTTCCTTATTTAGTGAGAATATAATTGTGATGTCTGCAACTTGTGCTTGTAGGTGTTCAAGAAATTGAGCAAATATCCCCATTTGGATGCTTGGAATTCTTGAAATTTTGGCTCAACTCGAATTTTGTAAAGCAACATCAATGACAGTGTCCGGTCCGACTTGATGCATATATGGTTTTGGGGTAATTGGTGAACTGTCAAACAAGCACACATCGCCCTGTACTATTCAGTAACCAAAAATTCCAGAGTGGATATAACCGGAGGGCAAGCTGGTAAGTTCGCAATCAAATTTGTCATCACCCTCTCTTCCCCCTGCCTATTTCACTGGTTCCTTTCCATCTCTCCAATTATTGTTGTCCTTTACGCGAACGCATATATTCTTTCAAAGCTGCTCATCAGAACTCATACCTTAATTCCTCCCATCCCATTACTCATAACCATGCCTGGTGAGCAAGAAATTTCTCAGACTTCTTCACGCATGCATAACTACATCTCCGAGGATGAATCCGAAACTGAAGATCACGAAGACCACGAGGTACAAGAAGACGACGCAGAGAGTGATGGAAGTACTACATCTCATGGAGGAAATTTTGAGAACTGCTTGTACAACATGTGTTCGTCGCGGCAGAGGAGGAGGCCCGGTTGGTCACTCGGCCAAGTTCTCGACCCGAGAGCAAAATGGGTTCAAGAATGGAACAGGGTTTTCCTCCTTGTGTGTGCAACGGGGCTCATCATAGACCCTCTCTTCTTCTACGCCTTATCCATTAGCCAGAGCTGTATGTGTCTGTTTGTGGACGGGTGGTTCGCCATCACGGTGACGGTGCTCCGCTGCATGACGGACGTGTTGCACTTGTGGAACATGTGGTTGCAGCTGAAGATGGCCAAACGCTACTCCTTCACGGCCATGGTTGGCGGGGATGGTGGAGGAGCCAATGGGCTGCGCGACACTAGTCCAAGGTCTGTGGCTCTCAAGTACTTGAAGTCGAAGAAGGGGTTTTTGTTTGACCTCTTTGTTATTATCCCCATACCCCAGGTCAGAATTCACTAATTAATTTTAGTTGATGCTATTACAACACACAAAACTAACATAGTTACTTTCGCATGTATGACTAATATTGATGGTCCCACATGACGGTAAAATTTATCTCCATGACAATGCGTGTGTGAGCTTAAGTGAAGTTGTGTGAATTTAGCATGTCTAAATATAATTAATATTGTCACTTAGTACTACGTTCTGATTATATTCTTCTTCACTTATAAGTGAGAAGTTTTACGTTCGATTCTCGCTAAAAGGAAATTTGAACTACATTATTGCTTGTTCATTATGAGGCTTAGCTCACTTCTCATCCCCTTAGTTTGTTCAAAAATTTTGTGGTGGATTATTAAAGGTAAGTCGTTTATTAATCATCATCACTATGTTTATTAATCATCATCACTATGTTTATTAATCATCATCATTATCTTTTGTCCTTATTTCTATTTTTTTTTTCCTTTTGCTGTCCTTATTGTGATAATTGCCGTGGGCGCTCTCTATATTTGTAATTATCAAAGATATGCGGTCCGTTTGTTTAAGGTTTGCTGTCTTTATGCATACAGAACACTGCATACGTATTTTGCAGAGAAGAGAGGTTGTAACATGTGAGCTATGTAATCTCTACGTATTCATCCAGAAAAAAGATAGGGTGGTGTTATCCACACACTCATCTTTACAATCTGCGTACACTTCTCAACCTTCGACCATCGGACAAAATGAATTAAAGATAATCAAATGATAGAAATTAACAAGAAATATGTGAAAGGTAAAAAAATGTGTATGAATAGCAACACTCAAAAGGGTATAGAGTAAAGACAACGTAAAACATAAAACGGTTTGTTTTTATTTGCACTATAATTTTGAGCCCCAATATCTTTTTATTTAAATCCTAATATGTGGTGCTATATACACCCTCCTTTTAGTTTTCTTGTGAGTAATACGCAGTGAAAAAATGAATGAGGGTGTGATGGAAAAATTCTTGTCTAAAGCATTTGGTTTGCTTAAGAAATATAGGGTCCTTGTTTTTCTTTATTTGTTTTGATTTTTTTTAAAAGGTATGATTATGGCATTTAATCATTAATTAATTTTCTTTTTTTCTTTTTTAATTATTAATTAATTATTTATTTATTTATTTATTTTTTAACAAGTAGTGAATTGCCTTAGTGGTTAGAACTTTTCTCATTAAGCCACTAACTCTCCCACATCATTTTTAGTGTAGAATGTGACTCGTATTATTTATTTTGGAACAAATCAACACGAATATGTTCATTTTCCAATACTGATAAAACATTTTAAGTAGACCAAATTTGCCATGCTGCTCTTACAAAAAGGAGACATTTTTTTTTTTATATTGAAACTAGAGTAAACTTGATATAAGTTCGATTTGTGAGTTATTATTGAGCAGGGGTGGGCATTTAGAACCGAAAACCAAAACCAAAACACGAACCAAATCGAACCACACCGAACGGTTTGGTTTTATGGTTTTAAAACAGTTTCGGTTTTGAAACCGAACCGCAACATAGAAAACAATTTGGTTTTAGTTTTAGCTTTTGAAAACTGCACCGAAATCTAACCGCACTGTAAATATTAATAAACATTTAATTAAATGTTCATATTAGATTTCATGTTTCAAATGGTTGTTTATTAGAATCTATACACTTAATATGGACTCAACCACACTAGAATATCATCATTCATCACTTTCTTTCGTTCATTAACTTGAAGGACCTTTGTTATTTTATACCATCATACCACACACACACACATATGTACAAGAGTGGACTAATCTTGTTATCAAGAGTCAAACAATGATCTAATGAAGTCTACTCATTTGAAGCATGATATCACATATTCTAGTATGAAAGTTTCGCTCACGTTTAATGAATTCAAAGTTATTCAACTTGTTTTATGTTATACCTTGAACAGGACACCCTTTTGTTGCACAAACATGTTTTAACATCACAATTACATGCAACATGCTAATTGTTTACATAACAAATGTCTTTTTCCTATTGCTACTAGTAAATGCTTATTAATATGTTAAATTACAAATTGTACATTTTTTCTTAAAAACCAAACTAAAACCGTTTGAAACCGTATCGAACCGAACCAAACAATTTGATTTCATTTCGGTTTTGGCTTCAAAACCGTACCGAACCGAACTGCAAAATAATTCGGTTTCAGTTTTGATTTCATTCAAAACCGCACTGAATTAATCAAACCGTGCCCACCCCTATTATTGAGTTTGGTCCACTTTGTTGGGTTAGGTTTACTGGTTATCCGCATCAACTTTTTTTTATCTATTATCTTTTTGTTAAATTGTGATAAATGTCATCCCTTATTTATAGGTTTATCTTTTACCCAATTTTAAGATTAAATATAAGAATTAAATATTGTTTCTCCTTTTTCCTGCTCCTAATTCATATCTCATTTTTTCTACCTCTATGACATGTGTTAACTAGTCGACATTGTAGATTAGATATATATATCAACCTATATACTAGTATGGATTTATAAATCTATGGAAGATGAAATTTTTTTAAGGGAATTGTTATTAGCACTCCAAAAATCTCATTCTACACTCCAAACTTTTGATACTTGTAAAAAAAAATACACTTGTGAGGAGTGTATAATGAGATTTTTGAAGTGCCAATAACACTTCCTTTTTTAAAAACTACTTTCATGGATGATAGGTAGATTAATTTTTATTTATTTTCATAGATATTTATATCACAGGTTAAATGTATTTTATCAATCTATTGGTAAAGGTATCATATATGATGACATATCAATTTTATTCTAACTATTTTACATAAAATTGGTTAGATTTTTATATTTATATATTCAAATTAAAATTTTAAGAGAATATGCATAAATTAAAATTAAGGAACTGGACTAAATTCAGCAACAGCTCAAATTTTTTGGACCTGAATTAAAGTACCCCTTGAAACGAAGTGTTTTAGCTAATTTGTATTTCAGATAATATTGTGGGTGGTAATTCCTTCGCTATTGGAGAGAGGATCGGTGACCGTAGTGATGACAGTGTTCTTGATGTTTTTCTTCCAATATCTCCCAAAGATCTATCACTCTGTCTGCCTCCTGCGTCGGATGCAAAATCTCTCTGGCTACATTTTTGGAACTGTTTGGTGGGGGATAGCCCTCAACTTGATTGCATATTTTGTCGCTGCCCATGTAAGTATTCATCTTCCATAAATCCCACCGTCTCTCACACTCGATAGTTTGTTTTATATATATAGGGAGTCTAACTATAATTTAAGATGGTAATTTATTCATATGATTTGATATGTTATATTGTTAGATTTTTAATTAGGTAAACTAATGCTTAGAGGTTTTAATATTGACAGTTTATTAATATAACATACTAAAATAAGGGAGAGTTTGCAATCCTGGAAATCAATTTGAGTGACAGTCGCATAATGTCTTACAAAAATAATAGGTGATATAGTTGATATTTCATGAACATAAGTTATAATAATAATAAATAAATATAGGTATTGTAATATGAGTAATTTGCTAATATTAGGTGGCAGTTTGAAGAAGGGATTTTTTTTCTTTCACAAAAAATAATATTGAGCCCACAATATATATCTGACAAAACAAAATACAAGGTCTATAACATGGAGGCAGATTCTCTGCCCTCTCACTTCCCGTGCCCTCCCGTAATATAAAATGTTGACGTGGCTTAACTGTGACCACATAAACAGGAGAGCACGGGAGGGCACGGGAAATGGGAGGGCAGAGAATCTGCCTCCCTATAACATTCTCTTTTTTATGTAAAAAGGTGTTGAATTTTCGATCCATGCAGGTAGCCCATGCGTCTAGGGTTTTCGATGGGTGAAAATTAGTCCACTTATAAAGAGAAAGATAAGATCAGGAGGATTAACAAAATGTACCCAAGTGATTAATCATGAATTGCAACACAAGAAGAACTTGTCCAATCGTGATGCATGTGATTGGAAATCGTTCTCAAATATTTTTTAGTGTGATCGGCACACAAGATGGTATACCATGTGTCATTATACAAATAGTGGAATATGTGTGTTAAAAAATTATAACTTAAAAAATAAAATTTTCTATTACCTACATAAAAACACGTAAAAGTATACTGCCGATTTGCCCCCTGAACTATCACCCAACTTTCGATTTTCCCCCTGAACTTTTTAATTGGAAAATTAAGGACTTAAACTATTTTTTTTGGCCGATTTGCCCCCTGCTGTTAATTTTTCATTCATTCCATCCAAATTTTTGTTAAATAGAAGCATATGCACAACATGTGTGGGTAGTTCGGTCGCTTCATTCTTTAAAATAATTGAAAACCTTAGATTTCTAAAATATAAACCTATGCAAATATGTGTGATTCTATAGCTTTTGTATCTAAAGGTCTAGTGAAATGACACTTTTGTCCACAAATGAGAGTTACGTGGTTTGCACATGATAAGAGTTAACGTTAATTTGGATGAAATCTATGAAAAACTAACTGTAGGGGGGAAATTGGCCAAAAAAATTAGTTTAAGTCCTTAATTTTCCAATTAAAAAGTTCAGGGGGGAAATTGAAAGTTGGGTGATAGTTCAGGGGGCAAATCGACAGTTTACTCAAACACGTAATGTACCACTGTGTTCCCATCACAATCAAAAATTTCTCCTCAATGTCAAGAATGAGGGCAAAAACTTGGACCTTCTTTTTAAGCATTGTCACCGACTCGTACTTCACATTTTGTATCCGATTTTTACAACTAGCAAAATAATAATCAAACACATTTGCTCTCATCTTAAAAACCTTTTATTTCTGATCATCATCATATTGTATAATCAAACAAAAGTAACGAATAAAATTAAATATAAACATGAGAGAAATTCACTTCAAATGTAGATTAAGAAACTTTAAGGTTCTCTAATTATATTTTCTGAGCTAATACTGTTTCCAAAGACAGCCTCTTCAAAACTCTAAACATAATTTGTTTTTATAGTCATCCAAATTAAGTACCATTGTTTAGGGTTTATAGCTTAGAGACTTAATTAAGTTTAGGGTGGTATCTCATTGATGGCTCGAGCCCTTCCCAGAAGGGAGCCTTCTTTGCCTTCCACCTAAGTTGCGCAGGAAAGGCCCAAAGCTGTGACACGGGACACACTTGACTTAAACACGTTTAATTATATTTCTCTATTTCTATAATCTGATGTTAATTTGCAGGCTGCAGGAGCATGTTGGTACTTGTTAGGAATCCAAAGGGCAGAGAAATGCTTGAAAGAGCAATGCAGAGAAACAAGTGGTTGTGGCCTCAGAATATTAGCTTGCGAGGACACTATTTACTATGGAGCGACAAACACTCTAAGAGAAGCAGCGAGACTAGCCTGGGCGGAGAACAGAAAAGCACGGTCGACGTGCTTAGACAATGCCGATCATTACGATTATGGAGCTTATTCATGGACTGTTCAGCTTGTCACAAATGATAGCCGATTGGAGAAGATCCTTTTTCCCATCTTTTGGGGCCTAATGACTCTCAGGCACTATTCATTTTCACCTCCTTAGTTCCCAACCTTTCTTAATTATTTTTATTGGTATTTTTTTAGCTTTATTAACCTTTGTGTTAAGTGTTAAATGATCGAATTATATTTAATTATGTGCAGCACCTTTGGAAACTTGGAAAGCTCAACCGAGTGGTTAGAGGTTGTTTTCAACATCATTGTTCTAACCAGTGGGCTGCTTTTGGTCACCATGTTGATAGGAAACATAAAGGTAATTTTAGGATTTATCATTGTCGATCTATGAACTAGGACTCATTTAGACATGATATCGTCTTGTCAAGAGTCTTTCTTCATATTTTGATAACATGATATGTACGCACAGGTGTTTTTGCATGCCACAACATCCAAGAAACAAGCAATGCAATTGAAGATGAGAAACATAGAGTGGTGGATGAGGAAGAGGCAGTTGCCTCAAGGGTTTAGACAGCGGGTGCGAAACTACGAGCGTCAGAGATGGGCCGCCATGCGTGGCGTAGATGAATGTGAGATGATCAGAAATCTCCCTGAGGGCCTCAGGAGGGACATCAAATACCATCTTTGCTTGGACTTAGTGAGACAGGTACGTTTCTGTACACACTGCTAATCTAGATTGACTTTAGTCAAATAATGGTTAGCGCCAGCCTCCATATAACTAAAGTTGAGCACCTCTAAGTACAAACATTACTACATGGGTGCATGCATGGTAGTTATTTTTATAATATCAATAGAATATATAGATATAATTCCATAGTTTTTGAAACTTGTTTCAGGTGCCATTGTTCCAACACATGGATGATCTGGTTCTTGAGAATATTTGTGATCGCGTGAAGTCTCTTATATTCCCGAAAGGAGAAACTGTAAGTTATACCAATATGACTATTCTTTAATATAACCGTGCCTGTGGCATATGACAATTTATCTAGCAAAACTCATTCTTCATTTTGTTAGATTTGAGGTTCTAAGTTCAAATCTCATAGATGATAATTGTTGGTTAAAAATAACTGTGACCATACTCGTGGACCTTATAGTTTTATGTGCAACTTAGGCCACACTCACAGCAAGAGACGTTCAATTCTAGTTTAACTCTATTACACGCTCATTGAATAATAACTTTCAAAGTAAAATGTGGTAGCATTAGTACATAGAATAAAATGGTTAGTCCTGCCTTTTCTTTACGCAATTCAAATTTTAGCAGTAAACTTTATGAGCTTCATTCAGATAACTAGAGAAGGAGATCCAGTTCAAAGAATGTTGTTTGTAGTAAGGGGTCACCTTCAAAGCAGCCAAGTTCTCAGAGATGGTGTGAAAAGTTGCTGCATGTTAGGCCCTGGCAACTTCAGCGGCGATGAGCTTTTGTCATGGTGTCTCAGAAGGCCCTTTATAGAAAGACTACCACCATCTTCCTCCACATTAGTCACTCTTGAAACCACAGAGGCATTTAGCCTTGAAGCTGAGGATGTGAAATACGTGACACAACATTTCCGTTACACATTCGTGAACGAAAAGGTTAAGAGAAGTGCAAGGTACTACTCGCCTGGTTGGAGGACTTGGGCTGCTGTGGCGATTCAGTTGGCTTGGAGGAGGTACAAGCACCGTTTAACGCTAACTTCTTTGTCCTTTATAAGGCCTAGGAGACCTGTGTCAAGGTGTTCTTCAATGGGAGAGGACAGGCTCAGATTGTATACGGCCTTGTTGACGTCTCCAAAGCCAAATGATCAAGATGATTTTTTTGATTGATTATAGAGATCAGTCAAAGGCTGTGTGCATTGTAAGTTTGGTTATGTATTAATGTCTCAATTTTGTATAAATAGAACAAAGGGAGGCCATGATATTAATGGTGTCTTGGGTAATAATTAAGTAAGTACAATTATGAGAATGTAAGGGGCAGTAATAATTAAGTAGAATTATTAAAATCTCTATTAGCACCTAAATTTTCTTCAACCAAAACCATATAAACAACATCCTTCAGTCTCTAGCTATTACTGTAGACCACGTGCAGGCATCGTTAGTTTTAGTTTCCCTCTAGCATGCACACTTATAGTTAACTAGTGCTGCCTCTCGCTTACTAAGGCCCTTCATTTTGGCATACGTGTATAGGGTTGGTTTCAATTGAATTTCTCACTATATTCAATGCATGCATGTAAGAAGAAACGGATGCCAACTTTCAAATTATGAAGTTAAAGGTGGAGACGGATCAGTCATCACGAGGGAAAGTAGGATCATAAGCGATAAGTTTCCTTCACACTACAAGAAAAACATAATTTGACAACAGGCAATGAACGTTGTGAAAGACCTTCGACAACGCGCATCAGGATGTTATATATCTTGATGTTGTGAACAGTTTGGAACTCTTAACAACATTTACCAGACGTTGTGGTACATATCTTATTAAAGTTTATTTTTGGCACGTTCAGAAAAGGTTGTCGAAAACATCCACGTACAACGACTTAAGAACGTTGTGGATGCATTTTCCACAAACCTATTAATTTGGACGTTCTCATTTTAGGTAGGGTTCCACAAACCTGTTTGGACGCGTTGTCATTTTAGGTAGGGCTCCACAACGTGTTTATGATATAGGGAACGAGTCATAAATGGGGGTAAGGCTAGCCGACATTCACCTCTCCCAGACCCTGCGTAAAGCGGGAGCCTTGTGCACTGGGTACGACCTTTTTACACAATTTTTTACACTCGTTTTTGGTGATCACTATTCATCCAAGACATAAATTCAAATAGTAATCCCACAAAGTACTATTCATCTACAGTGCCGTAGTGATGCCAATGATCATTCAACGTTAAACCGACAAGATACCATTCATCCAGAGTGTTGTCGTACCAAGAATATTTACTCCACATGCAAGATCAACAGGCAAAATACAAATCATTTAGACATACCACTATTCATGAATGAACCAACAGTCATCCAGCTCGTGCTTCCACAGTCACTTCGTGATTCTAAATATATGAGTAATGCAAACAACCAATGTCATGAAACTAATCTCAATGTAAGAAATCATTCATTGTTTCTAAAGCTCTGCGGTTAAAACTCCAAAAAGATTAGTATTCTCCAAAACAAGAAATTGGTATCTAATTATATATCTAAAAGAACCGAAAAGAACCTAAAAGAGTAAATCTAAAATTGGTATCTAATTATATATCTAAAAGAACCGAAAAGAACCTAAAAGAGTAAATCTAAAATTGGTATCTAATTATATATCTAAAAAAACCGAAAAGAACCTATAAAGGAGAAAATCTAGGTAACAAAATTATGGATATATAAATTAAAATTACCATATTCTGGATACGTTGTCAAAGCATGTTTTCGACTACAAGGAAAAATGTACGTTGCGCTGGTAGTGTTGTTATTGTTGTGCTAAGATAGCACCAAACCCGTTGGAACCAACTCAAGCTAACCCACAGGAAATTTATCAAATGAAATGCAAGAACAAAATATTAAAGACACCAAGATTTTAACGAGGTTCCTCAACAGTCAGTGTAACTGGAGTACGTCCTCGGAGCAGTAGGAGCTCACCCAATAATCCACTATCAACCAAATGGGAGTTTACAAAGAGTTGACAATCTCACAACCCAAAAGCCCAATACACCCAATAGCTCTCACACACCAAAGAAACAAATAGAGAGGGAAATATAGTGAATAATTTCCTCTCTATACAAAGCTCAAAGCTAATACACAAATACAACTTTGATTGAGTGAGTACCAACAAAGAAAGAAAATCACCTTTCTTTCTTCTCTTCAAAATGGGGCTGCAGCACCTCTGTTTTTGCTCTCATTTTCTGCTACGTTTTTTCCTCTCTTTATGGCTTCATTACTACACTTCATCAAAAATAGCAATTCTTTCTCTTTCAAAGAACTCATCCGTGACTTCCCATGGACCAAGACAACTTTAGACCAATTCCCTTTTCTTTTCCCCAAAACAAGGAAGAGACATAATTATTTTGTCTTTTTTTTTTCTTTTTGATTTGTTTAATTAAAAGGTGGCCACTTGGCCACATACTCCAACAATCTCCACCTTGGCCAAGTTCCGAAAAACGTCATGATAAGCCAACCAACACAATTAACACACAACATCACTCCCAAACACTAGCAAGAGAACAACTCATGCCGAGCCAAATACTCCAAAACTCCTACTGCTCAACGCCTTCTTTATATAGGTATAATGTGAGCCAAGTTCAAACAGTGAACAAACTTGGCTACACCAACAACCTTAGTCAACATATCAGCGGGGTTGTCTTTCGTTGGAATCTTCTGGAGAATGATTTCCCCTTCACCAACAATTTCACGAACAAAGTGATAACGCACATCTATGTGCTTGGTCCTCGCATGATGAACCTGATACTTAGCCAAATAAATGGCACTCTGACTATCACAATGTACCTCCACCTGCTTCTGATCAACCCCCAAATCTCTAATAAGCCCATGTATCCAAATGGCCTCCTTTATAGCTTCAGCAACTGCCATATATTCAGCCTCTGTAGTAGACAAGGCAACAGACGACTGCAAAATGGACCTCCAACAAACTGGTCCTTTAGCCATAGTAAACACATAGCCTGTAGTAGACTTTCTTCCATCCAGATCACCTGCATAATCTGAATCAACATAACCAAATGCAAAATGACCAATACCAGAGTCATCCCTCTCAAAGCATAAACCAACATCTCGAGTACCATGGAGATATCTCAATATCCACTTAGCTGCTTGCCAATGCTCTTTACTTGGATTATGCATATATCGACTCACCATGCCAACTGCATGAGCAATATCCGGTCTAGAGCATACCATTGCATACATCAAACTACCAACCAAATTAGCATATGGTATATTTTTCATTTGCAGCTTCTCTTTATCAGTTTTAGGACATTGTAGAGAACTCAATTTAAAATGAGGAGCCAAAGGGGTACTAACCGGTTTGGTTGAATCATGAACTCCAAACTTCCGAATCAACTTCTCAAGGTATTGTCTTTGATTCAAACTGACCAAACCTTTCTCTCTATCTCTAGTGATCTCCATGCCAAGGATCTTCTTCGCTTCACCAAGATCCTTCATCTCGAACTCGTTCTTCATTTGTTTTGTTTCTTCAATTTCTCAATCTCTTCAACATTCTTTGAGGCAATCAACATATCATCAACATATATCAATAAATAAATGAAAGACCCATCTTGCAACTTCTTGAAGTACACACAATGATCATATTGACTTCTAGAATAATTTTGGCCTCTCATAAATTTATCAAACCTCAAATACCATTGCCTTGGAGATTGCTTCAAGCCATAAAGTGATTTCTTCAATTTGCAAAACAAATTTTCCTTCCCTTTCACTATATACCCATCCGGTTGACACATATAGATCTCTTCATTCAAATCACCATGTAGGAAAGCCGTCTTCACATCGAGTTGCACAAGCTCAAGATCATATTGTGCAACAAGAGCTAACATAATACGAATTGAGGAGTGCTTCACAACCGGAGAAAAGATTTCATTGTAGTCAATGCCCTCCTTTTGTGCATACCCTTTAGCAACTAATCTTGCTTTAAATCTCACATTGCTTTTCTCATCAGCATCTTCCTTCTTGGCATACACCCATTTGCAACCAATAGCTTTCTTGCCCTTAGGCAATTTAGCTAACTCCCAAGTCTTGTTCTTCAAGAGAGAATTCATCTCATCACCCATGGCATTGCACCACCTTTTCTTCTCCTCACTCTCAATAGCTTCCTCAAAATTGGATGGAATCTCATCAGTGATAATAGGAAGAGCAAAAGCAACATAGTCACTGTACCGAGCTGGCTTGGTAATTTGTCTCTTTCCTCTGTTCTTAGCAATAGACTCTTGAGGTGAAACTTGCTCTTCAACTTGAATAGAATCTTCAAGTTCAACTTCTTCAACATCCTCATGGTCTCCAACTTCTTCACTTGTAGTGGCTTCGACATCAGCGGAAATAAGATTTGAAGTATCAGAGGCAACTTTCTCAAGCTCCACCTGTTGGACATCTTTCACATTCTTCTTAGAGACTTTGTACATACTTTCTTCATCAAATGTCACATCTCTACTGATTACAAGTTTTTTCATCTCTGGGCACCACAACCTGTAACCTTTAACACCACTACTAAAACCAAGAAAGATAGCCTTTTTGGCTCTAGGATCAAGTTTATTTTCAGTCACATGAAAATAAGCAGGTGAACCAAAAATACGGATATAGTCATAATCAGAAGAAGGTTTTCCAGTCCATACCTCCATTGGTGTCTTACCCTGAACAGCAGCTGAGGGTAACCGGTTGATGATGTGACATGCATAATTAACTGCCTCTGCCCAAAATGACTTGCTTAAACTCGACTGAGACAACATACATCTAACCTTCTCAAGTAAGGTTCGATTCAATCTTTCTACAACTCCATTTTGTTGTGGAGTTCCCCGAACACTGAAATGTCTCACAATTCCTTCCTCTTTGCAAACTTTAGAGAAAGGATCGGATGTGTATTCACCACCATTATCCGATCTCAAAATCTTAATCTTTCTCCCAGTCTGGTTCTCAACCATTTTCTTCCAACCCAAGAAAATGCTTAACACCTCACTCTTGTGCTTCATAGTGTAGACCCAAGACCTTCTTGAATAATCATCAACAAAGGTCACGAACCAATGTCTACCACTCAAAGAGGGAGTCGTTGTAGGACCCCAAACATCCGAATGCACATAATCAAGAATGCCCTTCGTCTGATGTACAGCAGTACCAAACTTCACTCTAGTTTGCTTCCCCAAGACACAATGCTCGCAGAAATCAAGCTTACAAGTCGTGGCACCTTTTAGAAGACCTTTTTTCACAAGCCCTTGTAGAGCTTTCTCACCGGCATGGCCTAATCTCATATGCCACAGTCTAGTAGTATCTGAATCAGATGTGCCCATATTTTCAGAAACT